TACATGAACTTCATGAAGAGTCACTCCTGCTACGATGCCATCCCAACCAGCTCCAAACTGGTCGTCTTTGACACAACGCTGCAGGTCGAATGTTCCCAACACATCCTCTTATTCTGCCAGTAAAACAGGCCACAGTTACAAAACACGTTCATGGTTTCAGCGACTGTGTTTGTTCGGCAGGTGAAGAAGGCTTTCTTCGCTCTGGTGGCTAACGGCGTGAGGGCAGCGCCGCTGTGGGACAGCAAGCTTCAGTGTTTTGTAGGTGAGCCATACATCATCTGTCTGTAGCACTGAGCGTCTTGCATGAGTAAGATCTCGATTGAAACTTGAGCTCCCCCCATACAGCCTTCAGTGGTTTATTAACTCTTTATAATCCAATATAATGCAAATGCTTCTCCAGCTTGCATCTTACACTCTGCCACTGTGTGTTAGATGGTGTCTGGGCTACCTGTGCACAATCTGCAACTTGAGTGTTGGCTGTGGTAGGCTCCCCCCTTTATGAACATGGTGCTTAGGACCTGTTTCTGTGTGCAGAAGGCGGCTGATGGTCACTCCACTCCTAACTCTATATCGATATCTATTATTAGTGACGAGCTAGGTTAGGGGGTTGAAGCCGATGCAGAGCACCAGTAAAGTAAAGGATTGCTCAGATCAGGACACCTTACCATTGGACTGAACAAGGTCTGCATCAGGGAAACCAAGAAATGCTAATAACCAGTGGACTGCTGCAACAATCTACACAAGGACTAAAAACGTGGAACTGATTCAGAGGAATTATTTTTCTGTTGGGAAAAAACATCACTAAATAATTTAATTTCCCGGGCACAGGTGCCATCCACTCATTTAAATTAAATTAAAGAACCTGCAGGGGTAGAACGTAGCGCACAAAGAAACCATCGCACACGCTGAGCGTTTGCGTTCACGCTACAGTGTCACTCCTACAGGTAGCTCCTTGTGCTCACAGTGAAATCCTGCTGGCTTGAGTCAAAAGCCTTTTCACTGGTTTCTTCAGCATAACCAGTGACAGGTGTCAGGGTTTCCACAGCTGCACAGTAAACAAAAACTGTTGATAATTCATTTGGAAAACTTTATTTAACAAATTGCATTGAGCGGCACTGAATACGTGCGGCCGTGAAATGAAATTATCTGCTTGGATGATGTTTTTCTTGCACACGACTCGACAGAAAAATAATTTCATAATTGAATGCTACTAGGGCAGCACAGTGGCACGGTGGTTAGCACTGTTGCCGCACAGCACGAAGGTCCTGAGTTCAATTCCACCATCAGGTCTTTCTGTGTGGAGTTTGCATGTTCTTCCCATGTTTGCATGGGTTCCCTCTGGGTACTCCGGCTTCCTCCCACCGTCCTATGACAGCTGAGATAGGCTCCAGCACCCCCCGCGACCCTGAAAAGGATAAGTGGAAGTGAATGAATGAATGGATGGATGGATGAATGCTACTATGCCAGCTCAGCCAGGTGCAGATTATATGCAAAGCATCTAGGAACGTGGATATATAACACATATCTTTAAAAGTGTCCAGTTTCTAGCCACAGAGCCAGTCTCCATGATCATTTTATTAGTTGGTGTCATCGTGAGGTACACTGTTGGCCACAAATGGCTGATTAAAGATATCCAACATTTTAGGATTTAAGGACCACAGCTTTCCAAGAAAATAGAGCCTGCTCACCTCCGTCTTCTATAAAGCCTCTG